GGTTCAATTTTGGTAGATTGCATGTGTCCAGGAATCTGTGCATTTCTGATAGACTTCCGCGTTCGCTGGCATACAGGTCCTTGTAGTAATTTCTGATGATTCTTTTTATTTCTGTGCTGTGTCTTGTTACATTTCCTTTTTCATCTCTGATTGTATTGATTTGGGTCATCTTTTTTTAGTTAGTTGGGCCAATGGGGTGTCAATTTTGTTTATTTTTTCAAAAAACCAGCTCTTCATTTGGCTGATTTTTTGTAATGTTGTTTTGGATTCAATCCTATTGATTTCTTCTCTGATTTTAATTATTTCTCTTCTCCTGCTAGATTTGGGTTTGGTTTGCTGCAGTTTTTCTAGGTCCTTGAGATGAATTGAAAGCTCATTTATTTGGTGCCTTTCCAATTTCTTGATGTAGGCACCTATTGATATAAACTTTCCTCTTAACACAGCTTTGGCTTTGTCGCATAAGTTTTGATATGTTGTGCTGTTATCCTCATTTACTTCCAGAAAGTTTTTGATTTCTCTTTTGATTTCTTGAATGACCCAGTGTTCATTCAGGAGCATGTTGTTCAATCTCCATGTGTTTGCATATGCTCTAGGGATTCCTGAGTTGCTAATTTCCAACTTCATTCCCCTATAGTCTGAGAAGCTGCATGGTATGATTCTAGTTCTTTTGAATTTGCTAAGACTTGCCTTATGGCCTAGTATGTGGTCAGTCCTGGAGTAGGTTCCATGCACTGCTGAGAAGAATGTAAATTATTTAAATGTAGAATGAAAAGTTCTGTAGATATCTGTTATATCTATTGGGGCTATAGTGTCATTTAAATCTACTGTTTCCTTTTTGATCTTCTGTCCGGTTGATCTGTCTATTTCTGAGATGGAGTATTGAAGTCCCCCAGTACTATTGTATTGGAATCTAACTCTCCCCTTAAGTCCCTTAACATATCTTTTAATTAAACCAGTGCCCTGTATTTAGGTGCATGTATATTGATAATCGTTATATCTTCCTGTTGAATTGATCCCTTAATCATTATATAGTGGCCCTCTTTGTCTCTCTTCACAGTTTTTGTGTTAAAGTTTATGTTGTCTGATATTAAGATGGCTACACCCACTCTTTTTGCATCTCTGTTGGCATGATATATCTTTTTCCAGCCTTTCACTTCGTCTGCATGCATCTTTGTTGGAAAGGTGTGTTTCTTGGAAGCAGCAAATAGATGGGTTTTGTTCCTTAACCCATTCAGCCAATCTGTGTCTTTTAAATCTAGAGTTGAGGCCATTAACGTTCAATGTGACTATTGATAAGTAGTAACTTTGCCCTGCCATTTTCCCAAAGATATTTTCTAATATGTGCTTTGAACTTCCTCTGATTTTTTACTGTGAGGTTTCCTTACTTTACTTTCTTTCATATTGATGCCCGTGTTTATATCTTTGTGTTTAACACATCTTTAAACATCTTTTGCAGGGCTGGATGAGTGGCGACATATTCTTTCATTTTCTGTTTGCTCTGAAAGGTCTTTACTTCACCTTGATCCACAAATGAGAACTTTGCAGGATATAATATTCTGGGCTGTCATTTTTTCTCTCTTAGTATCTGGGCAATGTCTCACCATTCCCTCCTAGCCTGTAGGTGCTGTGAGTCTAATTGGAGATTAGATTTCTCTTCACTATCACACTTTCCTGTTCAACTAATTTCTGCATTTCATTTTGATTCCTCCTTAAGATTTCATTTTCACGAGAGAGATTTTCTATCCTGTCCAGTAAGGATTTCTGTAGTTCAAGAATTTGTTTTTGAAAAATTCTAAATGTTTTTATCATAAATTTTTTTGAAATCTGTATCCTGCATTTCTTCTATCTCATCATCTTCATAATCTTGGCTTAGGGTATCTTGTTCATTTGGGGGCATCACAATGTCTTCCTTGTTCTTGTTTCCTCGGTATCTGTGTTTGTTGCTTGGCATTGTGGAGATATTCTTTGGATTCTTCTTCCCTCGCTATGGTGTTTTTTCTTGTTATATACTATGACTGTATTAAGTGGACTGTCTGCTTTTGATGGAGCCTTAGAGGCTTGAGATGGGTGTGGCCAGAGTGCTCTGTTTGGTTCTTCAGGGTTAAGGGTCTGCCAAAGGTGACACACCCAGGTTAGGCATGGTACATCTCTCTCTCTCTCTGCTCTCTGTCTCTCTCTATCTTTCTTTTTTTTTTTTTTTGTTCAGAAGGGAAGAAATTCCGCACAGCTGAGCAGAATATTAGGCAGTCAGCTTCTGATCTCTGGCTCCTGTGGGTTTAACATTCATCTGCTCTTTCCCAAGGAAGACACCAAGACTCTGTGGTGCCCCAACTGTGGGCTCAAATTCCCTTGCAGTCTCCCACCAGGTTGCCAAGGTTACCAAATTGTAGCGTCTCTGGCAAGTACTCACATGAACTCTGTGAGTTCTCTCACCCACCATCTCTTTTTTCATAATCTCAGTTCATTAGCTCCATGCATTCACTAGGTCCTAACCTCCTGTTATTTCAACCCCCCCCCAGAGTCAGGTTTTTCTGGTTGGCTGATGGCGGGCACTGCTTTAAGTGTGTCCAAAATGACGCCTGCTCTTTGTCTTGCTCACTTTTTAGAGGTGAGCGGGGAGAGAGACTTGTGTCCATACTGGTCCCCCCTTTTTTTTCCTCTCTCCTCTAGTTAGCATAATGAACTTTCCTCCACAAGACTTCAAGCCCTTAATGAGAAACCACTACAGATTTTTTGGTTTGTTTGGGGGATTTATTTGTTTATTTGAAAGAGTAACAGAGAGGGAGGGAGAGACAGAGATCTTTCATCCACTGGCTATAAGAAGCCAGGAGCCAGGGGCAACACGTTGTCTCCCCACAAGGGTGACAGAGGCCCAAACAATCGACCCACCCACAACAGCCATTCCTCAGGCCTCTAAAAGGGTGCTGGATCAGAAGTGGAGCAGCCAGGGCAGGCACTGTTCCCCACAATGGATTCCAGCGCCGCTGGCAGCCCTACCCACTACACCACAGCACTGGCACCTGGCCTCACTGTTTTTGACCATACTTATAAGAACAGTCTTCTGAGAAGTGCATGGCTGCCCCATCTCAGTTGATTTTTATAAATGATGAGAGATATGCATCTAATTCCATTCTTCTACACGAATACATCGAGCTTTGCCAGCACCATTTGTTGAAGAGATTATCCTTACACCAATGAAAGGTCTGAACCCTTTTGTCAAAAATCAGGTGGCCATATGTATTTAGATTAACTTGTAAGATACCATTTTTTAGTTAAGAGGTCCAAATTCCATGTATTTCATAAATGCAATTTAGGTACACAGTGATAGTCCCAACCCTCCCTCCCTGTCTGTGGCACAACACATTGTACACTTGGTTGTCTGACTCCAGGCAGCAGCCCCGGAACTGACCAGGCCAGGATGCTGGGTGGGTATCTGCCATTCAGTAGCCCTTACCACGGGCAGTTTGGCAGAGCTGTGCACCATGTGGGAGTGGCTGGGTGTCAGCCTGGGAGGTGTAGAGAGCTCCACACTGCCCTGAGCTTCTGGTGGGCTGGATTGGGAGCAACGATGCCCTTGGAGTGCTCCTGATGATGGTGAGCACAGGAAAGGCATGTCAGGCTGGGGCTCAGGCTGCAGCCCCTGGTTCTTCAAGGCAGTGTGGCCTCTTCCACTGACACTGTGTATCCTTGGAGGAAGGGGCAGGTGTTAGTTGGATGGCACTTGCGCAGTAGGCCTGGGGAAGAAGTAGATGTCTGCGGGAGTGGTGTCGAGGTTGAGGCCGGCTGGCAGTGGCATTGGCGGTAGTGTTACGGTAGGCTTGGAGAGTGCATGAGGGATTTGCTGTGTTTAAGCTTACGGACAGAGAGATGCCCAGGGCCTGCCTCAAAGGATGTGGGATACGGGGCTTCCCAGTGGCATTCTCCTCCCAAATCCGCAGGTTCAGAGGCAGTGGGGGTGGGCGGTGGCTCAGCCATGAGGAAACCGAGAAGCAGATGCCTGCCTCCCCTCCTGCCTCCCAGAGGACACGCATGTGAAATTAACCCAGAGTAGACTAGTGTTCTCTAGTAATTTGATGATACTGAGTTTTAGATTTCGTTCCTTGAAGTGTTTTTAGTTGCTTTTATTTTTTTGACAGGCAGAGTGGACAATGAGAGAGATAGAAAGGTCTTCCTTTTCCGTTGGTTCACCCTCCAATGGCCACTGCAGTCGGCGCATTGTGGCCAGCGCACTGCACTGATCTGAAACCAGGAGCCAGGAGCCAGGTGCTTCTCCTGGTCTCCCATGCGAGTGCATGGCCCAAGGACCTGGGCCATCCTCCACTGCACTCCCTGGCCACAGCAGAGAGCTGGCCTGGAAGAGGGGCAACCGGGACAGAATCCGGTGCCCCGACCAGGATTAGAAACCGGTGTGCTGTGCCGCAGGTAGAGGATTAGCCTATTGAACCACAGCGCTAGCCATTTAGTTGCTTTTTGTATAGGTGTAAGGTATGGGTCTTCTTTCAGAGTTCTGCATATCTGTGCAGATTTCTCAGGACCATTTTTTGAAGAAACTGTCCCTTGCACCTGGGATTGATCTTCAGCTCCTTCTTGAAAGATAGATTAGTTGTAGATATGTGTGTGTTATTTCAGATGTTTCTTTTCTGTTCCTTTGTTCTGTATGTCAGTTTTTTTTTTTACTATACCAAGCTGTTTTGATTGTAACTGTCCTGTTCTGTGTCTTGCAATCTGTTATTGCGATGTTTCGAGTTTTTTCAATGTTGTATAAGGTTGCTCTCTCTATTCAGATGTTCTGCGTTTTCATATGAATTTTAGCATTGTTTTCTCTCCATCTGGGCAAAATGCTATTAGACCTTTGCTTAGGATCCCATTGTGTCTGCAAGTTGCTTATGGTAGAATGGATATTTGCATTATGTTGATTTTGCCAGTGAATCAGTATGGAAGATTTTTCCATTTTTGTGTGTCATCTTCCATTTCTTTAATGTTTTATAACTTTTTTGCAGACATTTTCATGGATATGAAACTGGACACTGAGTTGGCACTGAATTTCAGCTGCTGGGTAATCTTCCATTTCTGGAACCTCCTTGGCTTCCTGGTAAAACCCAGCTGTGCCTTCACCCTGGACAGGAGCAACTGGTTAGTACATGTGGCTGTGTCCTGTTGATGGCAGCCCTTGGGCCCAAAGGGGAGCGGAGGGAAGGGAAGGGAACCCTGTTCCCTGCAGTTGGGCTGGCCAGGCTGAGAACAAGGTGGACTTCCAACCTTTGGGATGGAGGGTCAAGTCGGGGACCCCTATATACATGTGGAGACAGAAATGTGGGGGCCTAGCATTCCTAGAATTGAGTGGGGGCCACAGAGACAGAGGTGAATAAGATGTTGGTGAATGAGTTCCCTGGTTCTTTGTAGTTTATTAAGGGCCATAGAACATGCTAAGAAGGGAAGACTGGTTGTCCAGCCGTGGGAGGGAGACCTGGAAGGAGAACTGCATGTGTTGACTCAGAGTACAAAACATAAGATGTATGGTTTTGGGAGACATGGTAGTAGTTGTTTGGGTTTTAGAGTTTCAAGCTAAGGACGATGGGATTGTAAGTACTTCATGCAGTGGCAGTAGAGGGTTAGATGCAAATGGAAGAACCTGGGGCATGCAAGGTTTTGGGAGCTGAAAACAGGTTATTTCTGTATGTCACTATCCTATGATAGGGAATATGGAAGGATTGTATGGAGAAAGGCAGGCGACTTTTAGGAGAATTGTAATAGGGAGGAGCTGGTAGGTCTAGTAAAGGCCGGCGCCGAGGCTCACTATGCTAATCCTCCGCCTTGCGGCTCCGGCACACCGGGTTCTAGTCCTAGTCGGGGTGCCGGATTCTGTCCTGGTTGCCCCTCTTCCAGGCCAGCTCTCTGCTGTGGCCTGGGAGTGCAGTGGAGGATGGCCCAAGTGCTTGGGCCCTGCACCTCATGGGAGACCAGGAGAAGCACCTGGCTCCTGCCTCGGATGAGCACGGTGCGCCGGCCACAGCACACCAGCCACAGTGGCCATTGGAGGGTTAACCAACAGGAAAAGGAAGACATTTCTCTCTGTCTGTCTCTCTTACTGTCCACTCTTCCTGTCAAAAAAAAGAAAAAAAAAAACTAGTGGAGCATCAGAATGTTAGACCCAGGACAGGGCCTGGGGAGCAACCTTAGGAAAAGTGAGGGAAAGGGTATCAGGAGGCGGGTAGAGGGAACTTGCAGGAGGGACTGGGGAATGTGTGCTGATTTAATCAGGAAATTCAACCAAAGTCTACAGAGTACCAAGAGTTGGAGAAGATCTTATCTGAAATAAAATAAGGGTTAATAGGGGTCTTGGGTACATGGAGAACCTGATTTCGCCTGGGAATGAAGTTTGTGGCTTGTAGTCAGCTTATAGAAGTCAGAATTATAGCAGAGGACTTTTTCTTGGTAAATGTGTTTTTTTTGTTTGTTTTTTTGCTTTCAAAGGAGTTTCTGTGACGTACCCACATTTGTTCTAGTTATTTATGGTAATGCAGAGAGCATCATGAGGGTTTTTGAAAAAGTTTGTGTAAAGAGGGATTTGTAAGGTTGTTTCACTGTGTGAGAGTGCGCACGCGTGTGTGTGTGTGTGTGTGTGTATGTAGAGTATTATGCTTACGCATTCAGCTGATGAAAATTTCTTTTTTTCGCTGCCGTGAAGCATACTGCAATAAATATTGTGGTGGACGTATCTCTCTGATACAGTATGTTCATGTGTTTTGGGTTATAGCCAATTGATGGGTTGCTCCATCATATGGCAAGTCTATTTCTGGTTTCTTAAGAATCTCCATACCGTTTTCCACAGCAGCTGCACCAATTTACATTTCCACCACCAGTGTGTAAGTGTTCTTCTTGTCCCACATCTTCCTCATCATTGTGACTCTCCGTCCTTTGGGTTTTAGCCAGTATGTACGTGTGAGCTGATATCCCATTGTGGTTTGGATTTGCATTTCCCTCATAGGTTATGATGTTGAGCATTTCTTCCTGTATTTGTTGGCCATCTGTATATCTATGGGGAACTTTCTGTTGAGTTCCTTTGGCCATTTCATATCTGGATTGGTTGTGTTTTTTCTTGCTGCTATTTTTTCTAAGTTGCAGATGTATTCTTGATATTAATCCTTTGTCAGATAGGTAGCTGACAGATATCTTCTGCTCATTCTGTTGTATGTCTCTTCTATCTGTGATGACTTCCTTTGCTATGCAGAGCTTTTAATTTCATTTAATCCCATTTGTTTAGTTTTGATTTTGCTGCTGGTCTTTGAGGGTCTTTTGCAAGGGTCATCGCCTATTCCAGTGCCTTTGAGCTTTTATTTGTATTACCTTCAAAAAGCTTCATAGTCTCGGGTTATAGATTTAGGGCTCTGATACGTTTTGAGTTGATTTTCCTATTTTATGGGAGTTATGAATCTAATTTCGATGTTCTACACAGATACATCCATTTTTGCCAGCAGCATTTGTTGAAGAGTTTTTCCTTACTCCAGTGGATAGGTCTGAATCCTAAAAATCTGGTGTTGTACATATTTGGATTAATATTGGAGCTCACCTTGTTTTCTTCCATTGGTCTGTGTGTCACTTTTTCTGCAAGTGCTTTGATATTTGGTTTAGTGTAGATTTGTAGAATACTTTGAATCAGATGTTGTGAGGCATCTAGGCTAATTTTGTTTTGTCTTTTTTCTCAGGAACACCTTATCTATTCTGGATCTTGTGTGATTTTGTATGAATTTTCGGTTTGTTTTATGTAATTCTGTAAAGAATGTCATCGGTGTTTGGATACAAATTTAATTGAATCTTTAGGTAGCTTTAGGTGGGGTAGAGATTTTAATTATACTGATTCTTCAAATCCACCAAAAGGGATATCTTTCCATTTTTTGTGTCCTTGGTGATTTCTTTCATCAGTGTATGGCGATTTTCATGATAGAGCTCTTTGGCTTCTTTGGTTACATTTAGTCTTAAACATTTGATTTCTGTTGTTATTATCTTTGGGATTTTTTTGATTGCTGTGTCAGTGAGTTCATCATTAATGTATAAACACTGCAGCTTACACAGTATGCTTATTTGTAACCTGTGACTTCACTTAATTGTTTCACCAGTTCTAGCAGCGTGTTTGGTGGATTGTTTTAGTTTTTTCTCGTACCATAGCATGTCACCTGCAAGCATTTAGAATTTCAATTTCTCTTTTATAATCTAGCTGCTATTTCTTTCTTTCTTCTCCTTTCTTTCTCTTGTGAAAATTTACAGTACTGCATTCAGTAGGAATTTTAAAAGGGGATATCCTTGTGTTGTTACATGTTTGACAAAAATGCTTTCACTTTTTGCCCATCCAGCATGGCATTGGCTGTTGAGTTGTGATACATAGCCTTTATGATTTTGATACCTATTCCTTTTATACCTACTTTGTGGTGTTTTTTTTTTTTCTTAATAATGAATGGGATTGAATCTTTTCAGGTTATTTTTCTGTATCTAATGAGATGATAATGTGTTTTTTTAAAAAAAAGCTTTATTGCATTTTTGCAAGAATTACAGAGAGAGAAACATAGTGAGAACAGGTGAGCAAGAGAGAGAGTGAGAGAGAGAGAGGTGTTATAGGCTGCAGCAGTATGGTAGGCTTGGAGAGTGCAGGAGGGATTTGCTGCATTTAAGCTTATGGGATAGAGATGCCCAGGGCATCTACTCAGCAGCATTCTCCCCACAAATCTGCAGGTTTGGAGGCACGGGGGGTGCAGAAGATCTATTGTGAGGAAGCCAAGAAGTGGATGTCTGCCTCCCCTGCTCCCTCCCACAGGGCACGGATGTGAAACTCACCCAGAGCGGACGGTGAAGCGCAACTGCCGGGTGTTCTTCCAGTTCTGGAGACTGCACAGCTTCCTGCTCAATGCCAGCTGGACCTTCTTCCGGGAGAGAATCAACTGGTGAGCATATGTGGCCCCCTTAGTTGTGTCCATGTCCTGAGTGCACAAGGGGAAGGGAAGGGATAGCCTGTTCCCAGGGGTTGGGCGGCCCAGGCTGACACGATGTAGACTTCCACCCTGTGGCAGGGAGGGTCATGTGGGGTAGCCCCACAGGCATGGGGAGAAATGCAGGGGCCTGGTGGGCTTCAGCAGAGTGTGAGAGCATGGAAACAGGAGTGGGTAGTATGTTGGAGAATGAGTTCCCCGGGGCTCTGCAGAGCATTAGGGTCCAAAAAACATGGTAATAGGGGAATACTTGGGTATGCAGGAAATGGGAGGGAGACCTGGAGGACAAGTGTGTGCTGTTGAGTCAGAGTACAAAACCCAAGAAGTCTGGTTTGGAGAGACGTGTTAATAAAAGTTTGGGTTTTAGATTCCGGGCCTAAGAATGATGGGATTGGAAGTAAATTGTGTGGTATGATTGGATTGTTAGATGCCATGGAAGAACCTGGGGCAAAGCAAGGTGTTGGGATCTGAAATCAGGTAATTTCTGTATATCACCATCCTGGATATAGATAGGGAAATGGAAGGATTGTATGGAGGAGGTCAGGTGACTTTCAGTAGAGTTGTAATAGGGAGGAGCTGGTAGGTCTACTAGTAGAACTGGTGGAGTTTACCTGGACTTTACCAGGTAGGAGTTCTTGAAATATCTTCCCCTTATGTTGGAATGTATGCTTTGTAGTACTTCCTATTCCTCATTTGATTTTTTCCATCTCTGATATTTCCTTTGCTTTTATGATCTGTCAAACCATGTCTTTTTGTTTTACACTGTCACATTGTTTAGGAATGCAAACTCTTCCTTATGTTTTACTTTATAGGATGTGTCATTCTTTACAATGCAGTGTTATTTTTGGGTCACACTTATTCTGAATTATATAGCCTTTATACTCTTACTTTTTAGGTTATTTCTACAGAAAGATTTGCAAGCTTACATTTTTATGAAAGTCAGGATTTTCCATGTACAGAATTTTATGAATGTGCAAATTTTATATATTTAATTTTCCTGAAATGTGAGTGCTTACCTATTTTATATAAATTTCTATTAAAGATTGATGTTGTCTCCAGTGGATGTATTTGGTTTTTTTATTTTTTTTATTTTTGACAGGCAGAGTGGACAGTGAGAGAGAGAGACAGAGAGAAAGGTCTTTCTTTTGCTGTTGGTTCACCCTCCAATGGCCGCTGTGGCTGGCGTGCTGAGGCCGGCGTGACACTGCTCCGAAGGCAGGAGCCAGGTGCTTCTCCTGGTCTCCCATGAGGTGCAGGGCCCAAGGACTTGGGCCATCCTCCACTCACTCCTGGGCCATAGCAGAGAACTGGCCTGGAACAGGGGCAGCTGGGACAGAATCTGACGACCCAACCAATACAAGAACCCGGTGTGCTGGCACCTCAAGGTGGAGGATTAGCCGATTGAATCACGGCGACGGCTTGTATTTGTTTTTTTTGTTTGTTTTTTTTTTGTTTTTTTTAAATTTTTTTTAATTTTTTGACAGGCAGAGTGGACAGTGAGAGAGAGAGACAGAGAGAAAGGTCTTCCTTTGCCGTTGGTTCACCCTCCAATGGCCGCCACAGCTGGTGCAACCGGCCGGTGCACCGCGCTGATCCGATGGCAGGAGCCAGGTACTTTTCCTGGTCTCCCATGGGGTGCAGGGCCCAAGCACCTGGGCCATCCTCCACTGCACTCCCTGGCCACAGCAGAGAGCTGGCCTGGAAGAGGGGCAACCGGGACAGAATCCGGCGCCCCAACCAGAACTAGAACCCGGTGTGCCGGCCCCGCTAGGCGGAGGATTAGCCTAGTGAGCCGCGGCGCTGGCCTGTATTTGTTTTTTAGGCTAAAATAATTCTTGGGTATATTTTATAGAACAATTCTAAGAATAAACGACATTCTTTTTTTTTTTTTTGACAGAGTGGACAGTGAGAGAGAGAGAGACAGAGACAGAGACAGAGACAGAGAGAAAGGTCTTCCTTTGCCTGGTTCACCCTCTAGTGGCCGCCACATCCAGTGCATTGCGGCTGGCACATTGCACTGATCCGAAGGTAGGAGCCAGGTGCTTCTCCTGGTCTCCCATGGGTTGCAAGGTCCAAGCACTTGGGCCATCCTCCACTGCACTCCTGGGCCATAGCAGAGAGCTGGCCTGGAAGAGGGGCAACTGGGACAGAATCCAGCACCCCGACCAGGACTAGAACCCAGTGTGCGGGTTCCCCTAGGCGGAGGATTAGCCTGTTGAACCACGAGGCCGGCTGACATTCCCTTTTCTGCTCTCCTTTCAACACTGTCTTTCCCAGTGTACCTCTTCCTTTCTTTCTCCCTTTGTTCCTCCCTTCCTTACTTCCTTTCTTTCATCCATTTTTTGGATGGTTTTTATATTTGCATTTTAGTAAAAGGCTAAGTGCTTTACCAAATAAGAAGTTCAGTAACCAAAAAGTAGGGTTGAGGCAATATTTGGCATCCCATACAGGTGCTGGTTCAAATCTCATTTACTCCACTTCTTTTTTTTTCAAGATCTATTTATTTATTTCAAAGACAGTGTTACAGAGAGGCAGAGGTAGAGAGAGCGAGTAAGAGGTCTTCCATCCTCTGGGTCACTCCCTGGAAGGCCACAGCTACCGGAGGTGCACTGATCCAAAGTCAGGGGCCAGGAGCTTGCTCAGGGTCTTCCTACACAGTTGTAGGGGCCCAAGGACTTGGGCCATCTTCTACTGTTTTCCCAGGCTATAGCAGAGAGATGGATCAGAAGTTGAAAAGCTTGGACTTGAACTGGCACCCATATGGGATGCCGGCACTGCAGGAGGTGACCTTACTCATTATGCCACAGCACTGGTCTCTACTGCATTTCTGATCCAGCTCCATGCTAAAGCACCAAAGCATCAGAGGACAGCCCAAGTGCTTGTGACTTAGGAGCCATGTGGGACACCTGGAAAAAGCTCCTGGCTCCTGTCATCATCGTGGTACAGTCCTGGCTGTCTTGGCCATTTGAGAAGTGAACCAGCAGATGGAAGATCTCTCCCTCTTTCTCTCTCTCTGTATGTAACAGTGTCTTTGTAATAAACAAAGTAAATCTCATAAAATTAAGGGAAGAACAGAAACCCTAGTTTATAGGGAATATAAGCAACAAGTATAATCAGTGGAATGGAAAAATGACCATTTTTCCCGTATACCCTAAATTTAAAGTAATCACAGATCATTACAACTATACTAATGCTACATTCTTTTTTCTTTTCAAAATTTTTTTAAGATTTACTTTTACTTACTTAAAAGACAGAATTACTGAAAGAGGTGTAGAGGTAGAGAGAGTGGTCTTCCCTCTGCTGGTTCATTCCCCAAATGGCCACAATGGCTATAAATGAGCCAATCCAAAGTTATGAACCAGGAGCTTCTTCCGGGTCTCCCACATGGGTTCAGGGCCCCAGGACTTGGGCCATCTTCTACCGCTTTCCCAGGCCATAACAGAGAGCTAGATCAGAAGAGGAGCATTGGGGTCTAGAACCTGTGCCCATGTGGGATGCTCACCTTTCAAGCCTGGGATTTAACACACTGCCACACAGCCCCTACCCCTTCAATTGTTTTTAAAGTGAATGAAAAGAGAACATATTTCATGAATTGTGTAGGTACAGTTCTAAGAATAAACCCAGAATTTCCTCTCTTCCCCTTTCCCCTCCTTCCTTTCCTCTTTTCATCTATTTTTCATGATATGATTATAATCCATGTAATATTCAGGATAACAATAATATTCATAGGAAAAAGGTACAAAGAATAAAGTTCTACTGGAGCAGTATGATCTTTTATTTTAGGACATTAAATTAAAAAAAAAAAAACAGTTTTCTTGAGAGGCATTGTTACAGAGAGAGGAAGACATAGAGTTAGAGGTCTTCCATCCATATGTGCTCATTCTACAAATGGCCACAATGTCTGGAGGTGGGCCAGTCCAAAGGCAGCAACCAAGAGTTTTTTGCATCTTTCCCACTAGGGTGCAGGGACCCAAGCCTTTGGGCCATCTTCCACTGTTTTCTCAGGTCATCAGCAAGGAAGTATATTGGAAGTGGAGCAGCTGGACTTGAACTGGTGCCCATATGGGATGCCGGCACTACAATGGATGCTTAACCTACTATGCCATAATTCCAGCCCCAGTATTCTGTTCTTAACCATTGTTTTTTCCAGTTTTCAAACAAAGTTTTATAGGAGTATATTTGCGGCAGTAGTGATACACATTCACATTTATATTTCTTTTTTTGTGTTTTGATTTTTTTCAAAAAGTTAACTTTCACATGTAAGGTAATACATGTGGGTATTTTTTTTTCTGGCTGATTTCTCTAAGATGAAGTCCTCCAGTAACTCCATTTTGATGCACTTGATAAAATTTCATTATTTTTAAATCCTGAAATACATTTCATTGTAGATCTATACCATGTTTTCCTTATGCATTCATCTGATGATAGAAATCTTTGTTTAATCTTTATAAATAAATCCATGTTTATTCCTTGTGATTGCTGTGAACCATATTGCAATCAACATGGTGGTGGAGGTATCTCTTTGATAGAATAATGTTCATTTCTTTTTGGTGTAGACCCAGTGGTGGGATTGCTGAAGCATATGGCTGGTTTGTTTCTGTTTTTTTAAAGATCTGTTTATTAGAGAGGCAGAGTTACAGACAGAGGGAGAGACAGATAGAAAGGTCCTTCATCAGCTGGTTCACACTTGAAATGGCTGTAGTGGCCCAAGCTGCGCCAGGCCAAACTTGGGAGCCAGGAGTCCCTACCCATGTACCCACGGTTCTGCATGGGCATGCAGATGTCCAAGCTCTTGGACCATCCTCCACTCCTTTATGCAGGCCATCAGCAGGGAGCTGAATTGGAAGTGGGGCAGTTGAGACTTGAACCGATGAATATATGGGGTGCTTGTGCTGCAGGTGAAGGTTTAGGCTGCTATCCACAGTGCCAGCCCCTCCTTTCCTTTTGTGTAGTGT